CCCCTTGGAACAGATGCCAACTTCGTTGCTAACACCTCAAATCAACATAGATTGCAGATTTTTTTTCTTCCGTCAACCCTCGGGCCTACCCCCCACTACTATGCTTAAAGCAGCAACTGTTTTGAATCTTGGAACAAACAGTCGCACACTCTGTGTGTCCTACCGGGGAGACAACCGACAAGAAAAGATAGCATGTGTCAGGCACATGGGGTTTGGATGAGTTGAACGGTTGCCGACGCAAATGAACAACATTGGATCGAAGATGGGGAGGGCAGGAGCATTTCCTCTTGCAGACTGTGCTCCTGTTCTCTTTCTTCGCATCTGCTTATCCGACAGCAGCTCGACCACATCCACCCCGCACCGACCCTTAGGCGCATAACAACTGCGAGATATTGCGCCCATTTCAACAGGAGGGGAAGTAGGGAAGGAGACGTCTGCGAAGCTCTTCACTATCAATCTATGCGCCCGGAGCCGGGACTGCATCCCGCCGCTCCTCTCATCGGGAGGAATTTGTCGAATCGAAGTCGCGGGCCCATCAACAAACAGATCTGCTCGCAGCATCCCAAATCTGCAATTGCTGGTCTTTGACTTTTTTCTACTTGGAGACCCATGCATCTTCTTCCGCCCGCCTGCCCACCCCCTTTTCCAACCTTCCTTCGCTCGATTCCTTGCATTGCAATAGGAGATTTGTGATCGAAAATCCTCAACCTCAAGTCGTATGTAACGTTTTTCCTCTTCTTTTTTCACTGCCACCGACGAGCCAGCTGGGCCCGTTCAACAATGCGGCAATCCCTCTGAAAAATGGCTCATACGATGTCCCTGATCGGCCAGGCAACCCAAAAGAGCAGAAGTCCTGGGGAGCTGGATCAGGTGGCATGGAGTCCACGTGTCGAAACGATGCCGACACAGGATCGCAGATGCGAGGTTGGAGAGGACCAAACACAATTTCTGGGCTCCTAATGGCACTGTCGAGTGTCCATCTCCGACAGATGATGCCTCTACCTCCACTCTCTTCGACCCTGGGAGCGATTGCGATTGCATGTCAAGTAGGCGAGAGCAGAGAGGCGAAGACATTTATGTCTGCGAGGCGCAGGGTTTGGCGGAACGTCTGGCACGTTTTCGTCGGGCCCAGGCAGATATGCTTCTGCGAGGCTCTTCCGTCGCTGAATCGACGGCTGATCGAAAAATAAACTCGCGGCGACCCCAAAAACGTCGCAATTGAAGTGTTGCATCATGATTTCCAATGCATATTCTTTTTTCTCCTTTCGAGAGCCTGCCTACCCCCAGTCTCTATCGCATTCCTTACGTTCGAGTCGCGGCGATAGGATGACCTCGCCGTAGCCTTGGATAGAGGTGGTTCCTGTTTTTTTTTTTTTTGCTTGCCGCAAGTGTAATGAATTTCCGGTCCTGTTGTTTGTGTGAGATGAATGGAACGATTTGAACCGATGTCGACACTTGGATGACAGATGCAAATGTGGGGAGTTCAAACATGTTGCTTCGTTTTCCTGCCATGTAGCGGCAATGATATCCGTTCTCCGTCCCGACAGAATCTATCTGCCTGCACTCCGATCGAAAAGCGCATGGCATCTGCGACAGATGGTATCCAGCAAGGAGGGAGCAAGGGATAGAGGAGAGTTGCGTCTGCGGGGCGACCTGTGCTTGATGGCCCCAAAGGGCAGGGATTGGCGGGGACAATCGGACGAGCCAACGCTCTTTCGTTTTGCGTTTTCGTCATGATGTTTCCTATCAGCAGCTCAACCTCTGCATTTCACCCTCCCCATCATTCAAGCTTCGGCCACCACAGCCCATGAATGCCTCCGTACCTCGCACGTCAAAGAAATGATTCGGGGTCAACAGATCTCGAGATGAAGCACGCCAGCGGGGGGCATAGGACCCTGTGGCAGAGGAACGTGAAGCATTTCCTTTGGAAAGAATAGGAAAACAAGAGGCAATCTATGTTGATTTGAGGTGTTAGCAACGAAGTTGGCATCTGTTCCAAGGGGTCCATTCACCTCGCTTCCTCGAACTTCCGCGCTGGCCATGTCTCTTTTCGGTTACCTGTCCGAAAAGCGATATCGGATCAGCCTGTTCGTTTCCATAACGCAAAACACTTAGGTAATATTTGCTGGCGGTCGGATGGGCCGTGGGTGATGGCCAGCTCCCAAACAAAACGAAACTACTTAGCCACAAGGCAGCAGAGATCTCTCCCTTTCGCCGCGACTCGAACGCTCAAAAGGAGGGGTGGAGAAGGCGTTTGGAAAGAGCAAAGAAGACATGGGAACATCATGGTTCAACGCTTCAAGTGCAACTTGGGATGCGAGGGGACACCAGAGGTCTTGCGAGCAGATCTTTTGATGAGCCCGCGATTCGGCGGTGGAAGCCTCGCAATAACCTCTGTCGGAGATGCTTCAACCGGGCCTTGGCAGATTATGAGCCAATCGTCCCCCAAATCCCTGGCGACATCTGATCGACATCACTCCCCTCTCCTCCCCAATCTCCCTCTTTGCCATGATTTCATTTATAAGATTCAAACACAGCTGACTGACGGCTGCTGCTTGGTCGGACCGTGGAGTCCGCACGACGTGGGTTGAGGTAGGGCAAAAAACAGGCAAGTCACTAACCAGATGTATCGGCAGTAACAGAAAGGAGCATGGCGGTCAATAATGAGATAGATATCTCATACACTCAATCGAAGGGAGGGCGACGAGTTTGGGGGAGCGGGGGGTGAATAGCCATGAGTCTTGTTTGCCTCAAGAAGATGGACGGAACAACCTTGGAGCCACGACTAAGATCTTACTTGGAACTTAGAATTGAGGATGCAACTTCCTTTGCTAGGAAAATCAGAGATCCCATCCATCGCCGTGAGCAGATTTTTTGGTGAGCCAGCGATTATGTGTTCAAGAGCGTCCGGAGAAGGGGGGAGGGTGCACGAGGGTGAAATGCAGAGGATCCTTCAACCGAGCCGGTGGTAGCCAGCAGCCGATCGTCCTGTGGTGGCTCTAACCAACAGGCCACCTCGCAGAATTAACCCTCTCCTCTCTGCTCTCCCTCGTTGCGAATTGTTTTCCCAAAATTCAGGAATGCTGACTGACGGCCATCGCTTTGAAAGACTGTGGGATCGGCGAGTGGGTGGAAGCCGGGGGAGAAAAACGAGAGGCTCGGTACTTGTAGTCAGATTCATCGCCCATTCGCAGACACTTGGACGGAGGGAGGGCAACGCAGTTTGGGGAAGGGCCTGTGGGGGACAGGGGAGTGGGGGGAGGCGGACGAGAGTGAATGCAGGGGATTATTTGCATACCGGGCCAATTGCACGCACAGTGGAGTGCTCGCTCCTCGCATCCTCCTGGTTGCTATCGGCCGGGTCGGGGTGGTCGGAAAGACCGGCGCAAGCGGCGAGCGATCCTTCCTCCACGTTCGTGAAATCATTATGAACCCATTTCTAGATTATCCCTAGAGAAGTCCTCCAACCCCACTCCTATTCGATCCATGTGTATATGTCGGCATCGGTTCAATTCACCCATGCCCCTCACCTACCAGATGGTATTGGCCGATAAGCAACCTCGAGTATGCCTTTCCTTTTCCAAGATTCAAGGCAATTGATTGAGGGTTGGCAGGCTGCGCCTGTTAGGACCGTGGGGTCGGCCCATATGTCGAGGTAGGAAGAAAAAAAAACCCATACGGGCAACGACGCGATCGAAGGGTGGACGACAAGGCATGCACAGGACATCAACGGAACGACAGAACAATTGAGGAAATGACAAAAACAAGACATCCCATTCGTCGCCGCGAGCAGATCTTCCCATGAGCGTGCGGTGAAGAAGAGCGGAGGGTCGCCATCGCCGGGGAGCATCGTTCTTTTCTGGATCAAGCATCGTTGGAAGTGTCACTTGAGCGTCAGGCACGCTCAACGCTGCCAAGTAACGTGAGTTCTAATCGAGTCTATTGCCTTTTGAATGCCCGACGCTACTCCTCCGGTCTCCCTGTCCTCTCCACCGCTCGCTGGATCCGAAACCTCCCGGCCAGGCTGGATCATCACTCGAAATGCGTCTCTCCGAGACTCCGACAACTTACTTGCTCGTTTTTGAATCTGGTGCCTGAAGAACGCGACCTGCTCCCGCGCCGCCCCCATCCCCACCTCGACATCCGACTCCATGCCATCTTGTTGAAAGCTTCCATCGCCCTGAGCATCCACCGCCTCGGTGCCACTCCCCTCTCACCCCACCCTCCTCCGTGTTCAGCAACATTCAGACCCGCCATTGGACCGCTCCTTGTCGTCCACCATCCGCCTTTCCATCGATTGAGAGCACTTCAGGATTAGATGCTTTTGGTCGTCTTCCTATGTGGCGAAAGCGACGACTTGAACAAATGTACCAGTACAAAATCTGGGGCGACGCATACAAATTCGATAAGTATAATTTGTTTCTAGCACGTTGCAATACGGGCTTGTGGTCTAGTGGATACGACGTCCGCCTCCGATTTCTGAGGTAGCGGAAGGTCCCAGGTTCGATCCCTGGCTGGCTCGCTCGGAATGTATGCAGGAGTTTTTGTTGACCCCCACGATAGCTTCTCATGTTTGAAGCACACCGTGCCCTCTCCAGCGCTGGAAAAGTGCAAAGCAAATACTGGTTACCTACCGAAAATCCTCCTTGCATCTCTCACGCTGTCTCAGTCTCGCCAGCACGTTTGCCGCGTCACGGCGGTGGAAGTCGCTTGTCTAGCGTCGCCTTCAAGGCTGGCTGTGAATTTGCGTGGTTTGGATGTGCAGGGAGGCGATGGGCAGGGGAGAGCAGCGTCGGGAAGCTGATGCACGTCCATGAAGCTCCATGTCTACGTTTTATGGTAATTTTGCTAGCTGATGAGTTTGTGGAGCGTTGATCCCATCCTCTGAAAAACCGGCACAGCAGCACATTCCCCCTCACGATTACGCGTCCAAACACCTCTTCGTTGAGCTCGCTAACCCATCAGAAGGAGGCCGTGAACCATGGGAAATGCATCCTGCGAATTTCATCAACAGCCAAACTTCAGAGCCGGTGGGCCTCACCGACAGCCTGCAGGAAAAGTCGACCTCCCGCTTCCCCGGCCTTGAAAGTGAGATTGATACAAAGCAAAACCAAGACCCACACATCTCTCTTCTCCTTCGTCACGCCCAACAGCCGACATCACCCCCCCCCAACAACAAAGCGAACGATCTGGGCAGCTGGTCGCCCCTACGTATTCCCCCTTCCCCAGCTCATACATGTCTCCTTCCCTCACTCACCCTCAACTCCCTGCCCCCTCCTTCCACAAACGTCAACTCCAACTATCTGCGTGCGGTGCCCTCTGCCCCCCATCCCCCCTCCGGGTACCCGCCCCGCTACACGTCGCGGCCCAGCCTATTGCGACACCACATCAATTCCAGCGAAGGAACTAATCCAGCGACCGAGGAAGGGCAAGCTCGTGAATGTCGAGACCCACTACGCTCGGGAAGGAGCTATCCCCAAACGACCACGGAAGCCCAGCGGCGGAGACGAGGGGTTAAAGGGGAGATGGGCTTCCTCTCACGTACTTGAGCACGCCGCGGCGCTTGGCTTCTTCCAGCCACGTCGGCAACCGTGAGGGTGTGAAGACCGACCACTCGTAGAAGCCGACGTGAGTGCGATGAGGGCACGCGGAGGAGAGGGTGTCGAGAAGGGCATCCGTCGCAGTGGAGGTGAAGGGGAGTGATAGCCCTTGGAGGTCATTCCCGCAACGGTGGAGGTAGTCAATGAAGTCAGGTTCCGAGAAGTTAAGGATGTCGCATAAAGCGAGCGTCTCGAGCGGCATATGGGCCATGAGAGAGGTAAACATCGCAGATGTAATGGTCAGGGAGCCGGTGTTGAGGTGAACTATCTCCGGGAAGGTTTTCAGGAGAGAGCGTCGCTGATTTCGGATGGGCGGAAATTGAGGGCACGAGCCAGCGACATGAATTCGACCGAAGGGTAGCGATTTCCACGGGGGAAGACGAAGTTGGGCTTATCGTCAGAGTAGAAGAAGTTGGAAGTCGGTAACGTGGGTGAGATCAGGAGCTCGGTCGATCATCTTAGGTTACCGCGGCGCGGTAGAAGCGCTCGCATATCTTAGGATCATGCCAATCCTCGGTGTGCGAGGCCAACACTGCTGTGGCCGCAACCCGCATGATCTGCATGCGCGCAACCGCGGCTTCCCTTCGTGAGACTTCCAGAACGCTACCACAAAATTCATCTCAAAGTCGAGGGCACGCGTAAAAGAGGATGGGAAAAGTCGCCACTGGCCACGACAGGATGAGAAAGGGGCTCTGTTCCCATTCAAAGGCGCGCAGCCTCGGACAGTTGAATGCCGAGAATAACTGGGGAAGGTTGGCCGTTAAGGCGCGCCTGAGACCGGGCATATCTTCTTTGGGCAGAGGCACCTGTGGCATAAGGCGAGAGAGCGAACGTAGGTTTTGAGGCGTGGGCCGCCGACCAGGACACCTGGCACGCGTGTCGATGCCGCGAAGCGATCGAACATGCACAAGTCTTGGAGCAAGGGGAGCGAATGAGGGTCAATCTGATCAGAGGACCAGATTCGGCAATGCAATGTCCATGTTCGCGTGTCGTTTTTTCAACAGACTGCCAATGCTCGGAATCAATATTCAAACGAATACACTCTGTCCGTGGTGGTTTCTGCGACCAACTCCGACTCCGACACTCTCCTTCCCGTCCCTCATCCCTTCGGCGAACCGTTCCCGGCGTTCCACACACCTGCTCTTTGCTCTTCCTTCGGGCCTACCCAACCAGCTTCTTCCAATCTTTGGGTCTTATAAAGAAGCTCGGCATAAGGACGTAGGTGAGTGAGGCTGGGGATGGTGATGGGAGTGGGGGAGATCACGCTTCCAGAGGTTCAACTCCCCCGCTCGCGTTTTGGGGGCAGGGG